AAACCAGAGGCCCTGGCTGCTCCCATCATGCCCATGGAGCACTGGCCCAGGATGGCTCCCACAGGGAACCGTGTTCCGGCAGAGCAGGGCAGATGCTGGCTTCCCCAGGCCAGGGAGTGCAGCTCAGGTGGAGGTACTGGGTATGGAGAGCTGGTGGGGTCTGCTGACCAGAGGCTCTTGGGTGGAGGTGAGCTAGGTGGTGTTGCAGGACCAGGTTGGGTGAAGGAGGCCTCAAAGCCTGGCCACTCCCTGCCTGGTACAGGGTGACCCTGAGCCCTAGGCTCTCTGGTGCTTTGGAGAGGAGAAGCAGGCTGCACTGGACAGAGCTCTGCCCTCAGAAGGGCCTGAACTCCACAGAGGATGCTGGCTCCATCTGAGGCTGGGCCCCTGGTGCCTGCACCTCTCCATGGTCTGCAAGGCCAGGTCAGATGCTGGTGCATGAGCAGGTGGTGGAGGCAGTGGGGGGGGGATCGGCCTTCTTCCCATTCCACAGGATGAAACTTCAGCTCCTGTCCTGTGAAGCAACGCTGGCCTTTCTCTTATGGTGAACACTCCTCAGGGTGACTTGTGGGGCAGTATTCCTGGGGAGGGGGAGCAGTTTTAAGGAGACGTATCTGAAAAACAACTTTATCTGAGTGTCAGGTAAAGGATGGGAGTGGGCCGCCTTGGCCTCCCAGCCTTCTCTTGGGCCAGGTCCTGCTGACCCATGGCTGTTCATCCCCAGAGAGACCTGGCACTCTCAGTGCTGCTAGAGGAGGGCCTGACTGTGACTGTCCTCAGCACGGGGACGGGAGGGGAGGCTGTAGTAATCCCCACTTTGGACACAAAATAAATTTCTCTCTGTGACGGCTGTCCCTGGGTTCTGTTCTGATTCAATCCCAACCAAGAGGGGGATCCACTGAGTCTGATGACCCCTGCAGCTTGGGGCTCACAGGCTGGGGGATCCAGGCTGGGCACATGGGAGCCTCCATGGAAGAAGGTTCTAGAAAGCTTAGTGAGGCACCAGCTGGAAACAGCAGCACTCAGGAAGCCCCTCCCACTCATGTCCAGCACCCACCTTGGCGTGGTCAGTAGTAGAGCCCTACTAGAAAGGGCAAGGCCTCCGTCAGCTCCTGAAAGCCTGTGGCCTGGGCTCACCAGGTTGGGTGGGCTTGGTCCAGAGACCTTCCGACCGCAGGGCAGAGAGGAGGAGCAGCATGCAGGGCTGGGGCCTGCCCTGCCTTCCTGACACCCGCGGCTCAGGCAGGAGCTGTGACAGCTGTGGCCACCAAGGAGCAGCCCCTCTCCCCCTGCATCCCTCTGAGCCCCAGTGACTTATTCAGGGTGACTCAGAGACATGGACGAAGAATCAGCCCTGAGAATGGAGCCCCTGGGATGCCAGAAACATCCAGAAGGTTCTTCCGCAGGTGCTGTGGCGAGGCCACCGGGCAGAGGGCCTGTCTGGAGACAGCTGTGCCCAGCCCGAGTCACTCCACCTCACACAGCAGCAGTTTGCCTGAGCACTCCACCCAGAGCAAGCGCGGAGGCCGAGTGACTTGGTGACGGTGAGCACACTGGCATCTGCCACATGTTGGACCCACAGAACGTACAGGAGAGTGACTGCAGCCATGGAGCCCAGCCAGAGAAGACGACTCTGCAAAGTCCCCATGAGCTCACGCGTGAAAGCGTAGCCCCAGAGCAGCAGGTTCAAGGTGGGGGCTTGGGAGCAGGAGGCTCTGACCTCATCACGGGGTTAATCCAGGGTGGCTGGGGGGACTCCTGGGAGGTGAACCTAGTTGGAGGATGTAGGTCCCTGGGTCATGCCCTGCAAGGGTCACCTTCTCCTGGGCCCTTCCTCTTTCATTCTGTTTCCTGGCTGCCAGGAGCTAAGAAGCTCTTCTCCTCCGTGCCCTCTGCCCTGGTGCCCTGGAGCCAGCTGACCCTGGACTGGACCCTCTGAAGCTGAGCCAAGATGAGTTTTTCCTCCTCTAAGGTGTTCTTGTCAGGTTCTTGGCCACCGTGAGGAAAGGAAGCCTAGCACACCTAGGAACCTGTCAAATCAGATCCGACGCACAGGGCTGCTCAAGACTCCAGGCCCGTGAGCTCTTCAGACCCAGCAGACAGGGCTGGAGCCACCCCCGCACCAAGACCATAAGATGAAGGGCTCCCAAGAAGCGCTAAGTGGCACACCCAACCTGTGGTCTTGTCAGACCGTCCAGTGAACCAGTCTGCAGTCCACTTGCCAGGAATTCTGACTCTGTCCCTGGGCTACAGCATAGCTCCAGCTCCCTGCTTGACATGGTGCACTGGGAGACTGCCTGTGCTCTGACCCTGGACCAGCGTGAGTTCTGCCTGTTCCTCCTCTTATCTGACCACCTTCAGCCTCTGCCTTTGCTCTCATTCTGCCTCTTTAAAAACCTGTGGTGGGTGTATACCTGTAATCCCAATAGCTGGGAGGCTGAAGCAGAAGGATTGAAAGCCAGCCTCAGAAAAAAGCAAAGCGCTCAGCAACTCTTGGACACCCTGCCTCTAAATAAGACACAAAATAGGGGCTGGGATTATGGCTCAGCGGTAGAGTGCTCGCCTAGCACGGGCAGGACCCGGGTTCGGTCCTCAGCACCACATAAAAAAAGAAAAAATAAAAGCATTGTGTTGTGTACATCTATACCTAAAAAATAAATATTTAAAAAAAAATACAAAATAGGGCTGGAGATGTGGCTCAGTGGTTAAGTGCCCCTGAGTGCAATCCCCAGCACCCACCTCCCCAAAAAACAAAAAACAAAACCCAGAAAAACCCAAACCCACCACTGTCAACCCTTTCTTAGCCCCCAAAGCGCTGTGTGAAGGGTGATGCTGGCTCAAGTGACAAGACACTGGTGAGTAAGTCGGAAATGGAACAAGGGACCGCGAAGGCCTGAGGCTACACAGTGGGCCACGAGTGAGAGTGTGCTGGACAGTGAGGTGGCCTGTGGCCCTGTCAGTCATACAGCCCCACACCTGGGAGGGCACAGCATGTCTGTCCATGCCAATGGCCTGGGACGCACTGAATGAGAATTGGGCCCTCCTCCAGAACATGCAGCACTTCCTGCCCCCTGGTAGCTGGAGGTGAGGGAGCCTCTGGCCTGCGGACAGCATTCTTCCTGCCAAGGAGACCTAGGGGAGACGCAAATAAGCCAAGGGGCAAGGGGCAGTCCCTGGAAGTGGCGCCACCTGAGTACCGCATGCCGCCTCCACTGCACCCATCAGCCCTTGCTCTGTGCTCTCAGGGCCTGACTCCAGGCTGCAGTGCTGCTGCCACTCACTTGACAGCACACCAAACAGAACTTCAGGATGTTCTCCAGCCAGACCTTTGCAGTGGGGAAGTAGAGGCAGGGGCACTGTCTAGAACTAGAAGATGGCTTATATAAACTTAGGTTTGGTTCAGGATTTTTTTGCAGATGGTGTTTAATGAAAGATATTAAGAAAGTCAGGAGCAGGTATCTGTATGATGATGTTCAGCACAGCCTGTTGAAAAACATGCACAGAGTGTGCAAACCACTGAGGGTGTAGGTGAACATGTGACCTCTGGAGGACACAGAGCAGATCTCCGTCCTGCAAGGATCACTTGTCAGAAAACATTATTTCCAAAGTTTCTGTAGAGTAGAAAAGCTGGCTCCCACAGTGCCACCCCAGACATCCCCTGAGGTCCCCCTGGGGCTCTGACTTTGTGGGGCCTGAGCGAGAGGAATGAGCATGTCTAGAGTCTGGCTCAGGCCCTGGGGTGCTACTCCTCCTGGGTACCAGTGGAGTGGCCCCTTGCTGGCCTTACTTGCTTCTGAGAAGCTAGAGTCTCTGCTCACTGCATCCAGGTCTCCGACTGCACAACAGTCTACTCAGTGACACCAGGGCAACGAAGGGACTCAGAACCCAGCTACCCTGAATTCCCTGGACCTTCTGGCCTTGTCAGAGACAGGGAACACGGTGCAGTTCTGCTCTGTGGCCATCCCTGCTGGGGTTCAGGCACAGCCAGGAGTTCTATGAGTGCCCAGGTCCACAGGAAGACATGCGGTCGCACTGGGGCCTCTCATGCTGGATGGGCCATATCTGGTTGGAAGCTCTGTTCTCCTCACCCAGATATTCTGTGCAGCCACCCTGTAAACACCTCCTTAAACACTTCTGCTTAAATGTCCTCGTGTACACCTCTGCACCCACTGTGCACACTCCCTGTACACCACCTGGGCACACACCCCTGTAACCACCTGCCTCCACTCTGTCCACTCTGCAGGCCCATTGTGCACACATTCCTGGCCCCACTCTGCACACATCTCTGTGCGAACACCCTGCACACACCTCCTGCACACACCCGTACCTACCACTGCGTGTTTATCCTGCTCTTTGCTCTACCACCCGGCTGTCACCAATAGGCCAGTTGAATCTGTACCTCCAGACACCAGGAGAGGGTCATCCCAGGGCCCCCCACACATGCTCTCGATCGGGAGAGCCGCTGGGATACCTGGGCGTCCTGATCAGAATGGGGTCTTCCTGCTAACAGCCCAGCTCTTTCGCGTTTTCTGGAAGGGTGCAAAGGGACAAACCTCTGCCTCAGGACAGGCAGCAAAGGCGCTCCACGTTGGAACAGAGGATTCCCAGTCTATCCAGAACAGAAGGACGACAAAAGGAGGACCTGCTGGGGTGACACGCTCGGGCCGCCCCGCCCTCGGTGGACGTGGGGGTCCCCGGGGTCGCAGGTCACCGGCTGCGGTGCCCGGCCGGGACCACCCCTACCCTGACCCCGCCTCTGTTGACTCCAGCCCCCGCCCACGGTCTGGCCCCGCCCCTCCCCGCCCCCACAGGCTAGTCTGCCCCGCCCCCGCGCGAGCGCGCCCCGCCCGGGTCCCGCCCCTCCGCACCAGGCCCCGCCCCGCGCTGCTGGTCCCGCCCAGGTCCCGCCCCTTGGTTTCGGCCCCGCCCCTCGGTTTCGGCCCCGCCTGCTGGTCCTGTCCCGCTGCGCAGGCGCGGCGCGCGCGGTGGAGTTTGAAACCATGGCGCCGGGTCCGAGGCTGGTGCTGTCTGAGGAGAAGGTCCGGGAGCGCAGCGGCCTGGGGCCTCACCGCGATCTGGGTGCGCCGCGGGCAGGCGGGCGGGCGCCGGGGCTCCCCGGAGGCGGCCCGACGGTTCCCCCGCGGCGCCAATGCCTTGACTGCCCAACGGTCGCTGCCCAGGCAGGACGGAGCGGGCGGGGGCGGGGGTGGTGGGTCAGGTGTGTGTCCAGTGTGGGTCCAGTGGGGTGCGGTGTGGCTCCAATGTGTCAGGTAGAAGCCTAGGGGAGCAGAATGTGTTCAGTGTGTGGCCACTGTGTGTCCAGTGGGTGTGGTGTGGGTCCAGTGGGTGCAGCATGTGTCCAACATGGGTCCAGTGTGTGTCCAGTGGATGCCGTGTGGTTCCGATGTGGGTCGCAGTATGTGTCCAGTGGGCACAGTATGGGTGCCATGTGGGTTCAGGGGGTGCAGTGTGGGTTCAGGGGGTGCAGCGTGTGTCCAGTGTGAGTCCAATGGGTGTGGTGTGGGTCCAGTGGGTGATTGTGTGTCCAGTGTGGGTCCAGTGGGCACAGTATGGGTTCAGTGTGGGTCCAGTGGGCACAGTATGGGTCCAGTGGGTGCAGCATGTATCCAACATGGGTCCAGTGTGTGTCCAGTGGATGCCGTGTGGTTCCGATGTGGGTTGCAATATGTGGCTAGTGGGCACAGTGGGTTCAGGGGGTGCAGTGTAGGTTCAGGGGGTGCAGCGTGGGTCCAGTGTGGCAGGTGTGGGTCCAGTGTGGATCTGGTGGCTGCTTGGCTGCCCAGCACTGCCCTGTTGCCAGCTCCAGGGAGCAGGCCTGGGCCCTGCCTGTGCTGTGCAGGGCTCAGGATGCTCTCTGCCTGGGTTGCACCTGCTGCTGGGTTGCTGAAGGCCTGCCGAGGACCTGCGTGCCTGGTCAGCAGGCATGAGGTGCTTTTGCATTCTTGTTCTGTTCTAGTTTGGGCTATCAAGCCTCCCTTTCTGTGTTTTAGAAGAAGTTGGGCAGAATTTGTTGTAATTCTTTGAATGTTTCAGCAAAACCATGTGGACATGGAGATTTCTGTTTTGAAGTTTTTAAATTAGAGATTCAGTTTCTCTGTTAGAAAACTATTTACTTTATCAATTTCACCTTCAGTGAGTTTTGGTTGTCTGGGTTTCTGCAAAATTGATTCATTTTCCTAAGTTGTCAAATGTGTGTGTGTGTAGAGTTGTTCATGGCACCCTCTTACTAGCCTCTTAATGTCGGTGGGGTCTGCAGGATAGCCCCTGTTTCATGCATGACATTGATGGCCTTTTTTAAAGTCTTGCTTCAGGTTTATAAATGTTATTGATCTTTTCAAAGGGCCAGCTTTTGGGATGGTTGATTTTTCTGCAGTGTTTTTCTAGTTTCAGATTTCAGTGACTTTAATTCTTTATTATTTCCTTCTTTTCACTTATTTTGCTCTTTTTCTAGATTTTAGATGCAAACACAGTGAATATTGATTTGAGACTCTTGTTTTTCATTTAAGTAACTTTAGTGCTGTATATTTCTCTCTGAGCATAACTTTAGCTGCATCCAGTTTCATTTTTATTTAGTTTAATGTGTTTTAAATTTTTCTTGAGACTTCTTTGAACTATGGATTATTTAGGATTGTTTTTAAAATTTTGTGTTTGGAGATTTTTCTATTTTCCTGTTATTGATTTTAGTGTGCTTACATTATAGTTGAAGAACATATTCTGTACAATTTAAATTATTTTAAATTTGTGAAGGTTTAATGGCCCAGTATCTCATCTGTACTAGTGAATGTTCCACTTGAAAAGAACGTGTGTTCTGTTGAGGGAGTGCCAAATCAGTGTTGGTGTTGGTGAGATCCTGCGGGCTGATGTTGCTCTGCTCAACCAGCAGGATTTTCTGTTCAGTGATTCTGTTAACTACCGAGGGAATTTTGAAATGCCTTACTATAACTTGAATTTGTTGGTTTCTCTTTTCGTGTGATTTGAAATTCTGTGGTTTGGCACCCTGCATTTTTTAGGACGTTTATCTTTTGGTGGACTGAACTTTTAGCATATGTAGAGTTCCTGTTTGTCCCTGGGGAGGCCATTTACATTTACTGTAATTATTAATATTGCGGAACTCTAAAGTGCCATTTTAATTGTTTTGTGATTGTTCCTATTACGGTTTTTTGAACCCAAAGTTTCTCCCTCCAAGTGTTGGGGCCAGGGACACCACCAAGCCCTGGTGGAGCAGTGAAGATTTTTATTCTTGGGCTGAGGCTGTGGCTCAGTGGTGGAGCGCTCACCTAGCATGTGTGAGGTGCTGGCTTCAATCCTCAGCACCACATAAAAATAAATAAATATGGACTGGGGATGTGGCTCAAGCGATAGCATGCTCGCCTAGCATGCGTGCGGCCCGGGTTCGATCCTCAGCACCACATACAAACAAAGATGTTGTGTCCGCCGAAAACTAAAAAGTAATATTAAAAAATTCTCTCTCTCTCTTTAAAAAAAAAATAAAAAAATAAAGGTATTGTGTCCAACTTAAAAATATATATATTTTTTTAAAAAAGATGTTCTTGGCTAAGAACAGGAGACATGGGAGACAAACATGCAGATCATCTTCCCCCACCCCTTGGAATCAGAAATTTATAGATATAGGGGAGGAAAAAGAGGGAAGGGATGGAGTATGGAGGGGGATTATGAAGTCCTGCACTGTAATGAAGGTGGAGGTGGCCCTCAGTCAGGTTCAGCCACCTGCAGAGGGATGGACTCCTGGCCTTCAGCAGGCCGTGCTCAGAGGTGAACGGGGTTAGAACGAGTAGAGGTTCAGCAAGGCCAGCCAGGCAGCCCAGGACCAGGGCAGGTAACCAGCCCTGAAGTGACTCTATCCGTGTAGGAGGTTGCTGCATCCCCGTATAAGAAAATATGGAAATACATAAATACCTAAAGAGATGAATAAAGGGACTTTTATTTAACATAGTGGGATGAATATGTTAGCATTGTATGCCTTTCCTTTCAGTCTTTCTGTGTATGGTTAAAGAAAAATGTTGTTTGGTGACACTTGTTAAAGAATAGCATGGAATACTATCCAGGACCTTTGAGAGAGGTGCTGGGTATTTTGCAGTGGTATTTTGCGAGGGTATTTTTCATTGAGGGGAAAGATTGGATTCAACTCTGAGTAGTGTGGGCAAGTGAGAATTTATGGCCAAAGAATAGGGTGGGCATCAGTGGATGGGGAATTACTAAGAAGAACAAGAGGGACCAAAGGGGTTCTTGCTGAAGGTGGGCCAGTATCAGACCTCGCCTGGGAAGGGTGGAAGGTAAGGGACCTGATGAGGTGCTGAGGGTGAGTGGATGTGGAGGGCAGGAGGTCCTTGCTAGCGTGAAATGTGCAGATGAACCCAAGTTTGGTCAGGCAGAGATGCTTTGTTATTACCTACTGTGTTTACTTTTCCTCATTCTGAGACAGAGTCTGGAAGTTTTCATCCTCCTGCCTCAGCCTCCTGAGTAGCTGGGATCACAGGCATACCAGCTATCTGTTGTACTTCTGAAAACTAAGGATGGGAACGCTTTTTATCATGATATCATCTTCAATTAGAAAAGGATCAGAGTCTCATGACTTTCTGCCCTTAGCTGAGCTTCGGTCGCTGTCTATCCCTGGAACGTACCAAGAGAAGATCACCCACCTTGGAAACTCTCTGATGCGTCTGACAGTCCTGAAGTCTTTGGATCTCTCTCGCAACTCCTTGGTTAGTCTAGAGGTGAGTCAGGTTTGTTTCTTAAAAGAAAACTTACTACTATCAGTATGAATGGAAGGTATTGCATTTAAAAATGTGATGCGTGTTTTAGCCAAGCACATCATACTTGTAGACCATTCACTTGGAGTTCAGGACACTTAAACTGAACCCTGAAGCACTGCATCGTCCGTCACTGGTGTTTACTGTGAGCTAGATCTCTCACACTTCACTGTATACCCTTAATGCTCTGGAGACCAAGGACTTAGCTCTCTGAGAATGGATTGTTGTTTTAGTCAGCTTTTTTGTTGCTGTGACCTGACAAGAACAGTTTTAAGGAGGAGAAGTTTATTTGGGGGCTCGTGGTTTCAGAGGTTGTAGTCCATAGAAGGCCGGCTCCATTTCTCAGGGCTCAAGTGAGGCGGAACATCGTGGCAGAAGGGTGTGAGGGAGGAAAGCAGTTAGGACATGGCCACCAAGAAGCAGAGAGAAAGTGACTCCTCTTGCAGGGACAAGACGCATTCCACAGGCACCCCCAGATGACCCACTTCCCCCAGCCAACCTTGGCTGCCTTCAGTTACCACGCAGGTAACCCTGTCGGGACTAACTCACTGATTGCATTAAGGCTTTCGTGACAATCATGTCACCCCTGAATTTCTTGCAATGTCTTACACATGAGCTTTTGGGGGACACCTAATATCTAAATTATCATATCTTTAAAAGGAATGAAGAACGATTCCACAGACAAGTGTGGGTGCCTGTCACACGGTGTCCCCTCATGAGGTTTGTTTTCGCACTTTCTGCACTTCATGTCTGCACTTACGGCCTGACTTGGTCTCTGCCCTCCTGGGCAGTGCCTTGAGCTCTGGTTCCTGGCAGCGTGACCAACAGGGACTAAGAAGCCACCCAGGTGTGAAAGACCTCTACAATGAAAACTACGGAACTAACGGGAGAAACTGAAGAAGACCTAAAGGATGGAAAGACCTCCCGTGCTTCTCGACAGGCAGAATCACTATTGTCAAAATGGCACACTACCAAAAGTGTTATACAGATTTAATGTAATTCCGATTAAAATTCCAACGATGTTCTTCAAAGAAATAGAAGAAACAGTTATGAAATTTATATGGAAAAACGAGAGGCCTGGAATAGCCCAGACAATCCTTAGTGGGAAAAGCTAAGCAGGGGGCATCCCCACACCAACCTTTGACTATACCACAGAGCTAGAGTGACAGAAACGGCATGGTACTGGCCCACAACAGACACGGAGACACCCACACGAATACCGTTACCTGACATGAGACAAAGGGGCACAAACATACACTGGACAGCCTCCTCAGCAAATGGTGCTGGGAAAACTGGAAATCCATAGGTAGCAGAATGAAGTTGAATCCCTGTCTCTCACCCTGCACAAAACTCAAAGTGGGCCAAGGACCAGAGACCTGTGCCTCCTAGAGGAAATGTAGCCCCAACTCTCCATCATGCTGGCTTAGAAACTGACTTCCTAGACGAGACTCCTAAAACACAAGGAAGAAAATCAAGAATCAATAAATGGAATGGTATCAAACTAAAAACTTCTTCTCAGCAAAGGAAACAGTGCTCTCTCATGAAGAGAGAGCCTACACAATGGGAAAAAATCTTTCTACCTGCACCTCAGGTAGAGCATTAATCTCCAGGATATATAAAAGGCTCAAAAAACTTAATACCAAAAAACCAAATACCCCAATCAAAATAAATGGGCAAAGAAACGGAACAGGCACTTCACAGAAGAATAAATACAATCGATCAACAAACATGAAAAATGTTTAACATCTCTAGCAATTAGAGAAATGCAAATCAAAACTTCTCTAAGATTTTATCTCTCTCCAGTCAGAATGGCAATTATCAAGAATACAAGGAACAATAAATGTTGGCAAGGATATAGGGGGGAAAGGTGCACTCATACATTGCTGGAGGGACTATAAATTGGTGTAATCACTCTGGAAAGCAGTATGGAGAGTCCTCAGAAAACTTGGAATGAAACCACCATTTGACCGAGCTATCTCACTCCTCAGTTTATACCCAAAGGACTTAAAATTAGCATACTACAGTGACGCAGCCACATCAGTGTTTATAGTAGCTCAATTCACAATAGCTAAGCTATGGAACCAACCTAGATGCCCTTCAGCAGAGGAATGAATAAAATGGTCTGTGTACTCAATGGAATATTACTCAGCCATAGAAAAGAATGACTGACTTTTGGTGGTAAATGGATGGATCTAGAGACTATCGTGCTAAGTGAAATAAGCCAATCCCAAAAAACCAAGGGCTGAATGTTCTCTCTGATGTATGGATGCTGACCCACAACAAGTGGGGGAGGAGAAGAATAGAGGTTCAGGGGATTAGACAAAAGGAATAAGGAGAAGGGAAAAGGAAAGACAGTGGAATGAGTTGGACCTAACTTTTTTGTGTTTACATATGAATACATGACAGTGAAACTCAACATCATGTGCAACCAGAAAACGGGGTCTTAATTAGAATAAGTTATGCTCCATGTATGTGTAAGACCTCATAATACGTTCTGTCATGTATGTCTGAAAATAAAGAATCACCCAGGTGAGACGGGGGAAGGATGTGTGAACACTGCTCTGGATTCAATTCACAGAGGGGATTCTTGCCCTAAAAGACACACGGGACATCACATGTACTTTTGGAGACCACATCTGACAGAGGACTTCAGAACCCGACCCAGGGCTTCAGAGCCTATCTCAGCCAGATGCTGCACCCTGTCCTGGCTCATCTCCTGACCACCCTAGCCTCAGTTTCCTAATCTGTAGAATGGGGGCACAAATCATTCTGACCCTGTTGGGTTGTGCACAGAGTAAATGAAATTGTGTGAATCACTTAGCCTGGGTCTTCCCGAGAGCTTGGGCGGTGCCAGCTGGGCTCAGTGCCGGGGACTGGCAGACCCATGTGGTCGTCCACTGTGAGAACACCTCACGCTTTTGTGCTCTCCTTGCCTCTGAGTGTCAGTTGGTTGAGCAGTTCCTGCCCTGGTCTGTTTGTCTGTTTGCTTTCTGGGACGTAAACAGGTTGTGCCTTCTGTTCCAGGGCATCCAGTACCTGATCTCCTTGGAGAGTCTCAACCTCTACTACAACTGCATCGCGTCCTTGGCGGAGGTGTTTCGGCTGCACTCCCTCACAGAGCTCCAGGGCCTGGACCTCCGGCTGAACCCTGTCGTGAAGAATGAGTCTGACTACCGCCTGTTCTTGGTGCACATGCTCCCCAAGCTGCGGCAGCTGGGTAGGCCTGGGGCCGCCCTGCTCTACCCCCGTACCCTCGCGGCGCAGCCCAGGCGGGCAGTTTGTGCTCGGGGTGGCTCATGCTGTTGATTCCTTCTGGGAAGGGAAGCTGATTTTCTGCATCGATGGCCTGAGTCTTGCAGGCCCTTGGCTCTGCTGGCCCAGTGTCCTGACAGGGTGGGTATGGGGAGAGATGCTTGGGCAGGGCCACGGGTATTGTCCTGGACCCTGGTCTGCATTCCTGTGTCCCGAGGCATCTCTGGAGGTGGCTGGAGGAGCTGTCGGTCAGCATGAAGTGCACGCTCCTTTGTGCCAGCCCCTTTATAGTCGTGCACGTTCATGTTGTGGGTTGACCCGTTCAGCTGTCCTGTGGTGAGGGTGTGAGTGTGCCACAGTATGCCTCTTGCCAGAAACCCACCTGTTTTGCACCTCGTCAAACCATTTTCTCCAGCCCCAAGCCCTGGCTGGCTCCCCCCAACCCAGCAGGAGCTGCTAGGCAGTGAGGGTGGTGCTAGGGAGGGTGCGACAGGCACATCCGATGGGTGGCCAGAGCCCCTCTGCTCTCGTAGCGTTGACCACGTATCCCCCATGTATCCCCCACGTATCCTAAGGGCAAACCCATTCTTAGTGAGGCTGGAGGGCACTGGGCCTCCGCATCTCCTCTGTACTGACCTCACAGCACCCAGTGAGCCCAGCTCTGGTGCACTGTGAGCACTGACACTGAATCTCCACTGCCCATGTGGCAGGTGCCAGGCCAAGGGCACCCCCAAGGGATGGCCAGTGTCTGGAGATATCAGGGCAGGTGTGTGGCGCTGGCCTCCCGAGAGTGCAGCCACCTCTGAGGTCCCAGGGCCTGGCTGGGCAGGTGGGCTGTCTGAAACCTGCCTAGACTGAGACGGAGAGTCGGCCGTGGCGCACTGTGGTTTGTTTCTCAGTCCTTTGGTGTGTTGTCTAAGATTAGGCCATTTTCCTGGCCCAGGGGAAGTGTACGGGGGCAGATGTAGGTAGTGTCTCGCGTAGGTCTGTCACAGGGTAAGAAAAGAGGTGCAGCCCCTGCGTTGGGTGGGCAGATTGGTGGGACTGAAGTGACTGAACTCTTGGCCTTTGTTAGATGGGTGGGAGCCTGTGGTGGTGGGAACCTTGGCCACACCTCTCGGCCTGGTGCCTGGAGCAGCTGCTGCCCACTGTGCTGCTGACACTGAGAGCCTGCCCCCCGGGCCATTTTACCCCTTGTGGCCAAGCTGTACTGGTAGAAGGCATATGGTAGCCACCTGACCCTTGGAACAGCTTGTGGGAGTGCGATATGTCCAGAGGAGACAGTGCTGGGTTCCTTGTGGAAGGTGGTGGAAGACTGGTACCTCTGGGTGAGCGCCAGGTTAGAGGATCTTCCATCACTGCCCCTCCCCACCTTTCCCTCTCCCGGCTCTTGTCTAGCTCACGGCCATGTTTGATTTGAACATGGGGAAAATGAGCAGGTGACTTACACATGTCCAGCATCCCAGGCCCTACAGGTGATTCTGGGGATCTTCTGTTTTAAATCGTGGTTTTCCCTTGTCATTAGCGGGTTAGATGCTGAGTCTCACACTGTTTATGTAGAGAAGGAAGGATACTTCCAGAGACAGTCAAGGAGCATCCTGGAAGTCAAGTCTCGTCCAGGGCTGGCCCTGCCCAGCAGGTGCCTGAGGAGAGAACGGAGCCCTGGCTGCTAGTGGGGAGCAAAGGCCTGGGGGAGTGTGCAGGAGAAGCCGGGAGGTGGCATGGGGCTATGGGGAGGGAGCAGTGGGGTCCAGAGTGTGCTGCTGTGAGCAGAGGCTGTGGTCTGTGGAGTGGGGAGCCGCATCTGCTTTGGACACCTGAGTTTGCTGTGTAATGGAGAGGGCCAGGTGTGCACTTTTGCAGTGGGGATCTGGAACTGACTCTGAGGGGAGAGGTGCAGCGAGAAGAGGTGTGTGTTGCAACAGGGGCACACCCCATGAGTGTTTGGGCTTTGGTGGAGACAGACCTGGGGACCAGAGGAGGGGATTAGGAGAGCAGGAGGAGTGGGCGCCTGTCTCCTGGGCATGGCTTGGGGAGTGAGAGGAGCCCCACGTGCAGAGGCCTCGGACGCGGCTCTTGTGCATGACCTTCACAACTGGTTTTCTGCTTAAAAGTACACTGCACAGTTACTTATTTCTTATTTCTTACTGTTTCTATAATTTCGAGGTGTTCCACAGAGTAAATGCTCTTAGGAAGGTAGCATAGAGCTTGACCATTGTCAAGACATATGGCAGTTTCCAATGAGTGGGACCGTCTCATCCCCAGGTATCTGCGTAGAGGTGCCAGGAACTCTTGGTAGAACCCTTCTGAGGACCCAGCCCACATGTGAGGCCGTTAAACTCCTCCTCTGTCACTGTGGTTCATCCCTGGGGGACCTTGGGGAACATACTCTAAGGGCACACTCACAAGTCAAGTGCTCCCAGTGTGTTCAGGATGCTCCTCCATGGAGACTCCTTAGTGCGCCATGTGATGAGAGTCTCATCCAGCACCTGGCGTCCACGTTTAAGAATGGGCGAGTGTGCACCTCGTGCATGTGCTCCTTTGCCATGGCAGCAGCCTGTCCCCATGGTGGCGTCTGAGCAGTGAACTGCGAGAGCAGGCTGGCCTCGTGGCACGGCAGCAGCACCCCTGGGCAGCCAGGCGTGGCGAGGGGTCAGGAGCCCTCCTGTGCAGGTGCGCTCTAGGAAGGGGCCTGGCACCTCTGCTCCTCCACGGAAGCTGGCCCTCACCACCCTGCTGTCCTCTGCAGTCTCTGCAACTTTCTCCTAGATGACCGTCCTGTCAGAGACAGTGAGCGGAAGGCCTCCCTGCTGCCTTTTGCCTCAGAGGACTCGCTGGACTCAAAGGAGAGCTTCCCAGCTGCCTTAAAGGTCGGAAGGTATGGGCAGACGTGGTTGGGACACCTCTCAGACTGGTTGCAGGGTGTTCAGCCACACTCACAATCACATGCACTTCAGCTGTCCTCAGGTGCACAGGAATGGAGGGAAGAGGTGCCCAGCGTCAACTGGGGCCAAATTAGGTGGTGGGACAGCGTCTCTCTCCCACTTTCTGCATTTCCTGAAAGTCACTGTTATTTTTTATATTTAAAGTGTTCGTTGGAGTGGCCTGTGTAGTCAGGGAGTGCAGAGGGCTGGTGAGAAGGAAGCAGCCCTCAGCTGTTTCCCTCCCGCAGCGGCCGCTCTCAGGTTCTCATCTCAGGCCGCCTTGCCCACTTCTGGATGGGAGTGCGTCTGCAGGACCCCTGCCTGCCTGGAGGAGGTTCGAGGTCCACGTCCCCTCCTCCACCAGTCCCACAAGGCGATCCACAGAGTGCATTCTCTCTGTGCTCCTCTAGTGCCAGTGCTCCCAGCTCTGCCATGGTCAGCGCTGGGTCCTGCACCCACTGGTGCCCTGCTTCCCCCTGCTGCCTCCAGCTCTGGCTGCCGGCTGCCCTTCACTTAGGCGGTATCCTTGTGGTCAAGCTGACAGTGTGAGACCTAGAGGACTGTCGTGCTTTGTGCATGGGTTGCTTCTAAAGAGCAGCATCCGTGAGCTTTTTTAAATTGCTGGATGAAGACCTTGGACTTTGTCTTCTTTCTTGTGCTCCATTTTGTTTTGTCTGATACTTTTTCTTTATTTTTTCTTTTTCTTGCATTATATGCCTTAGCTCATCCTCATGAGCTATCTAATGCAGGGTTCAGCCTTTATTTATTCTTTTTGTGAACAGCTGTGAGAGAAGATTTAGGCTCTTGGAACCATGTAATCCCTGTCTCAGCTTCTCCAGCTGCTGTAGGCAATCTGTCAGTGAACGAGTCTTCCATCAAAACCACCGTGGCCCTAGCTGCAGACTTGGCCTGTGCAGATCTCACCTGGAGCTCTGAGGACTGTGAGCAAGTATGGTCAAGTTCCAGGCACAGTCCCCTGGGTTGCTGTCCAGTTCTCACAGTGTCTCCACACGGTGGCAGTGGGAGGGAGTTTGCTGGGGATTCCTTTTGTGAAGGCACCAGTACCATTCATGAGAACCTCACCTGTGACCTGATTAGCTCCTACAGGCCCCATCTCCCAACACCATCACATTGGAGTTAGGTTTCAACATATGAATCTGGGAGGCATGCAAATGCTCAGTCTTTTGCAATAAGCTTGTATTTAGAGCAGCTTTAGGTTTCTAGAAAAAAATGAGTGAAGTGTGCAGAGAGTTCCCATATACTCCTGCACGCTACATCTTGCATTAGTTATAATTGATGAGTTAGTATTGATGTGTTATCTTTGAGTGGTATATCCTGCAGATTTTGACCAGTGCTTACTGTTGTGGATTCGTCCTCATACAGAATAATTTTACTGCCCTGAACACCTCCAGTGTTCTACCATTCATTTCTCCTTCTTGCCCAGGCCTCTCTGTAGTCTCATATCCTTTGTTTTTTGGTACCAGGAATTGAACCCAGGGGCACTTAATTACTGAGCCACATCCCCAGCCCTTTTTAACATTTTATTAGAGACAGGGTCTTGTTGAGTTGCTCAGTGCCTCACTAAGTTGCTGAGGCTGGCTTTGAACTCGCAATCCTCCTGCCTCAGCCTCCTGAGCCGCTGGGATTGCACACATGCGCCAGTGTGCCCGGCCAGCTTCTGTTCTTTTCCCTGTCTGTGGTTTTCTCTGCTCCAACACATCACCTAGTTGCAGTCTGCAGTGGTTGGGGCGTAGTCTGCGTGTGTCCTGTGATCCTCCGTGTGTTGAAAGCTTGCTCCCTGCTGTGGCAGTGTGTGGAGAGGCAGTGAGACTTTCAATAGGTGGGCCTTGTGGGAGTCATTAGGTCATCAGGTGCTGTCCTCAGAAGGGCTGAAGGTAGTTTTCTTAGGTCCCTTAGTTCTTATGGAATGAGCTGCTCTAGTGAGCCTGACCCCTGGCTTGCTCTCTGGCTTCCCGTCTTGCCATGTGACCATTCCTTGTCCCTGGCACTCCCACCATGGAGCACATCGGCTGCAATGTGACACAGCCAAGGGGGACCTCACCAGTGGCCAGCTTCATGTATGGACCATCATGTTCTAAAATTTTGAGCTGAAAAACCTCTTCTTTATGAAGCACCCAGCCTTAGATGTTTCGGTATAGTGACAGAAAATGAGTTAGTATAGAATTATATGATATTTAGCCTTTTCAGATTGTCATCTTTAACTTAATATGTATTTAAGTTCTCTGTCTTTTTGTGTCATGATAGTTCATTTATTAGTGTTATTGAATAAGTCACTGTGTGGATGTACCATGGTTTATCTGTTCCCCTTCTGAGGGGATGACTTGACTGCTCCTAATATCTGGCAGGTGTGAGTGAAGCTACTCTAAGTGTGCACGTTTCCACGTGGATGTGAGTTTTGAGTTCATTTGGATGCACACTCGGAGCTGGGTGCTGAGTCATGTGGCAGTGGTACGGGATTCTGTAGGCCGTTGCCCCACGTCCCCGTAACTGCCGTGGTGGTGTTAGGTGGTGTACTTTGGCCATTGGTGGGTGCAGTGTGTCTTAGGAGGTTCATGATTAGGGGGTTCCTGATGGTCATGGTAGGGAGCTTCCGGATGGTAGCTTCTTCTCCTGGGCTTACTTGCCACTGGGGTGTCCTCCTCCTCCTCCTCTTCTTCTTCTTCTTCTTCTTCTTTTTTAGAGACAGAGAAAGATAGAATTTTTTGATATTTATTTTTCAGTTTTCGGTGGACACAACATCTTTATTTTATTTTTATGTGGTGCTGAGGATGGAACCCAGCGCCCCGCGCATGCCAGGCGAACGCGTTACCGCTTGGGCCACATCCCCAGCCCCAGGGGTGTCTCCTTTGGTGGGAGATCCTCTCAGGTCTTTCCCATTTGTGACTGGGTTGCTCCTTTTCTCACCGCTGAGTCCCAGGAGCTCCTGTGTATTTTGGGAGGTAGTGCTTTGCTGGATCCCTGTTTTATGGTATTTTCTTTTCTGTTTCTGCAGTCTACCACTGAGCTATCTCCCTGGCCCACAGAACATCTTCTCCCACCTATGGATTGTCGTTTCCCTCTCTTTAACAGTGTCTTCATGGAGCAAAAGTTCTCAATGTTAACAAAACCCAGCGAATCAGCTTTCGTAGACGCACTTTCATTGCTGCATTTAAAAGTCACCAGGAAAGCCCGTCCCTGCGTCTGACTCCCATGCTACCTCTGGGAGCTATGTAAAGCTCTCATTTTGTAATCAGGTCCATGGTCTGTTCTGAGTGAAGCTTTGTGAAAGGTGTAAGGTCTGTGTCTAGATCATGACAGGGTGTTTGGGTGTCCAGCACGGTTTGTTCCAGAATGGAGTCCGCTGCGTGTGTGGGTGTGTCTGGGCTCTCTGCTCTGCTGCACGGGCGCCTGGCCTCTTGCTTCCCCAGTGCCTGCCGTCCTGGTTGCTGTGGCTTTAGAGCAGGTGTCAGCCCTTTGGCTCTGCTCTTCTCCTCAGTCTTGGGGGACAGCACTCAGGCTCACTGGTTTGTTTTAAATCCTGCCACAAAGGGCACAGATGAAGAGATGTGTAGGACGAGGGGTGGGGAAGGGGTGGGGGCTTCCTTGGGCACCACTCTCCAGGTGCCCACGTTTAGGGCTGTCTGGCACCCCGCTGAGCCCCTTTTGGTCTTAATGTCACAGACTGAGTGGTCAGGTTATGGATCACTGATGGTCAACTGAACCACTGGCCCCTCCCTCCCTGGAGTCCAGTGCCTGGTTCTCAGCCCACCCTCTGGGCTTGCTTGGGTCCCCAGGACAGGCTCTCCTGGGGCGACCAAGGCCCAGCCTTCATTCTGCTCACCGGCACGTACAAGACACTGGTGTGCAGGAAGCGGGAGGCAGAGCAGACTGGGAGCTCCCGGGTGTGGCCGTCTCAGCCCTGTTCCTGCAGATGTTCCTGGGGCTCCCACCGCGGGCCCATCCTGTGATGCAGCTCTGCTTGGTATTCCAAAGCCTGTGAGACCTGTTGCTGCTCTCTTTCTGCTCTGGAGGCTGGACAGTCAGCTGCCCCATCCTCCAATGCACGCATGCCTGCTGCAGGTCCCCCACTCTGCGCTTCAGTGAGCTTCCTCAGGCCACGTCTGGCCCCCACACCAGCTTGCCCGCTTAGGCTCTGTCTCCTTCATCTTCCACGGTTCATGAGACCTAGTTCTCGTAGTCCCTTCTCCCATGTGAAGGCTTGCTCTTGCTTGCTGAATGGATGGAAAATCACTGATTTATGTGGATTGCAGAGGCTAAGGTCTGGACTTCCTCAGGTGTGGTTTCGGCCTTCTGTGTTTGGCCTCCACCTTTTCATTTCTTTGAATCCCTTCTAATTTTTGTTTATATCTGTACGTTTTGAGCATTGTAACATGACAACTCTGGAAATCAGATTCTCTTTGCTTCCCTGGATTTGATGTGCTTGCTGGTTGTAGTGGTCATTGTTTGGTGACTTTTCTGAACAGTTTTCTTTGATGTACATGGCCCTTGAGGTCTGATGAGCTAGTGATTGGGCAGGGATTCCCTTCCTGTCCCAAACCAGAGAGTGAGCTAGTCTTTGCCTGGCTGTGTTCTGGGCCCGCTCTGTCCCTCAGCTTGGCAGTGTGCACCTCTGGGTGAACCTTGCTTCCTGCTTAGCAGAGCTGCAAGCCCAGTGGGTGCACGCAGGCGTAGGGCCTTCCTGGGGTGAGAGAGCCCAGAAGGTCAGACGTGCACACTGAGGATGGCTTGGCTGCCCAGGACTGTGGGCATGGCAGTGGTCCTGTGACCGTAAGTTAGTGAGCAATCCCCACCACTGAGCAGTGTCAAGCAGTCCCAGGTTGTATGAGAGCGCTTGACATTCGACATCTGTGAAATGATGGTATATGGTGACTTCTGCCAGCCTGTGTCCTCCTTGTTAAGTGACACGTGACCATGGTTGCCTCTTTCCAAACCCTGTGGACATCTGATTCCCAGCCATTTTCCCCAGGCTCTGTGCTGCTGTCTACTACAGCTGCCCTCTGAGGCTTGGGTTGGCAGCAGCCAGGACCTCAGCCTTGGGTGCTCAGTGTCCTCACCCCGAGCACGTTGGGCCTGGCTGTGGCTTGTGGGGTGGGAGAGGCCTTGGAGCTGATCCTTGGGGCAGGTCGGAACAGCAACTCCACCCTGCTCCCTGGGGCACCTCGAAGGCACCTTGGGTGTTTCCAGTGCTGCTGTGGCTGCCGCTGAGAGTTGTGCAGGGGTGGGGCTGGGCAGGCCCCTGGCCGTTCTTGCTGGAGATCAGCATCTTCCTGCAGCAGCTGCTGCATGGGCTGCTGCCGTCTCGCCTCATCTCCAGGGTTCCCAGTTTTCCCTTTTTCCTTTATGAAGAGACAGAATGTGAAATTCTTTTCTCTGCCTCGCCTTGCTGACATCATTAGACACATCCGTTGTGTTCTGATTTATAGGAAGTGCTTCAGATTCTTTTCTCTTTTGTCGTGACATACACCGAAGATAAAGGAAGCACTTACTCACCATGGTTGGGAATAGTGTACTCTAATCTACAAATATAAATACTTTGCAATGTTTATAGATTGACTTGTTTCAACACTGCAACACTTAGTTGTTATAAAAGCTGCAAAAATTGTAGAAATTGAGGAAAGAATGAAGAGTGTTCCTTAAACCACCGTGTTGGGGGGAGGACCTCTTTGAGGGGGTCTGCCTTTGGGTAGATGGTGCAGGCTGGGTGGTGTGTTGCCACTCATGACCTCACCGTGGTGCTCCGGGGTGAGCTCCTCCTCCAGTCACTTGCTGCTGAGGCACGCTGCTCCAGGAGCAGTGCAGACGGGCCTGCGCTGGCCGTAGGCTGACAGTGCTGACCACTCTGCTCTCCCTTGCAGACCACACCACTCCAGGGCCAGGTGCACTGACCCCTCAGCCAGGAAGTGCTTGGTCATGGATGCAGATGACGAGGCGGTCCTGACCCTCATTGCTGAGTGCGAGTGGGACCTAAGCAACCCCCCTGGGGGCTTGAGCTCCAGCCAGAAGGAGCGTGAGGCTGACCACCACCACAGCCAAGGTACGCTGTCCAGTCTGCAGTGAAGGCCCGGCAGGTCCAGCAGTCACGGGCTCCGACCTACACAATCGTGCTTTTGTGAGGACACCAGGGCTGGGCTGCTCGGTGGTGAGCACTTGCCTCGCATGCACAGGCCCGAGCTTCCATTCCCAGCACCAAAAAACAGCAGCAAAAAACTGACCTCTACGATAGGATCTTCAGCACGGCTTTGTGCACTTTGAGAGCCAGCAATGAGACCGCAGAGCTCTGAAAGGGAGCATTGGTGTCCCAGCACAGTCCTGCTGCAGGTGGTCTCGCCGCACTTCTCCTCACACGAGAAAGTAGCACACTAATGCAGACAAGAAAGGCAAGTGCCTCGTGGCTAGTGGAGCTGATGCCCACAGCTGCTGTGGTCACTGAGCTTAGAGAGGCCCCGAGCACAGGCTGCCACGTTGAGGCTCTGTCAGGGACAGCAGGAACATTGTGCTCAGGGCACAACCTCACACGCTTTGCCTGGGGACTCTGCCTCCCACTAGGGCTTGTTTATGAGCTGAGGCTTCTGAGAGGTTCAGGGAAACAGCGTGAGGAGTCCAGTCAGCCTGGGTTGAAATGCGAGTGTGCCTGCTGCCCGAGGAGCAGCCCCAAGTGCCACCTCACGCTGCCACCCTCGGCTGGGCTGCTCCTGTGGAGGGTAGCACTTCATCCTAGTTTTTGTTTCATTTTTCTGAAGCAGACACGATTGAAACGCTGGCCTTTGTGTCTCTTCTGGGACACTAGCCAGCTCTGCCCACCCTGTGTCAGGGCCGGTTCCTCCTGGTCGGGGGTGAGAGCCCAGGCCCTTCCTCGGGGGCAGGTGCCGTGGCTTCTCTCCCCTCCTGGCCCCACCTCTTCACTTTCCTGACGGCACTTTGAAGAGCAGCTGTTCCAACTCCAGGGAAGACCAGTTGTCTTGGTCATCTTTTTCCTTCCGTGGCTCATGCTCTTTTGTCCACCCCATTGCTGGAGCTTCTGTTCCTCACAGATCTCCTGCGGGGCAGGCACAGGAGAGTGGGCCCTCGTTGGCTCTGGTTTCTGTGGGTGTGGGTGGGTCGACTCCCCTGCCACCCTTGTACCTCCAGTTGTTCTGATGCCACTAATTAAAAGACTCCTCGTTTAGCTGCTGTGGCGCGTGTTAAGCCAGCTGGCCTGTGCCACTTCTCACTCGACCTTCTGGTTCATGGGTCCGTGACTGCTGCTTCCTGTGGTCTGGGGTCTGCCCTCGCCTCCCTGGAGAGCTGTGTGGAATGCACTCAGTACCATTGTACTGAGGCATCTTTTTGTTACTTAATCAATTTAAGGGAAGCATGCTTAACAGATGCCATACACTGTCATAGACTTAAAATGTGATTTTGAGTGAAATTAAGCTTTTAAAGTGTTCTTAATAAAATAGAATCCAGATGTCTGTTGAACCCTCCGTCCATCCAGCACCAGTGTGGGGACTCTGCAAGGAGGGGCCACGAGAACAAGAAAGGCAGCTCCAGAGGCTGCTGTTCAGAGCAGCCTCCTCAGGACCAGCACTGTGGGGAGTCTCCCCCACCGCACGGAGACCCTGAGGCCTGCCGCACACACGGGCTGCACGCCCACTCCACCCCGCACCCAGGTAACCCCACGCCTGTCTTTAAGATTCCCTCGGTGTCTGCTGCTGCCACGAAGCTTCTCCTGTGGCCTTTATGTGTTTGCTTACCTGCGGAGCCTTCTGAAGTACTTTAGGAAAGAACCGAGTACGTTGACATTTACAATCCTTGCTTGTTCAGGATTCTGGTGTGCACACACTTAGGTACTTCTTCGCTCACGCACAAACACACTCATTCCCTCCTTGCTTCTCCCACATGCCCACATTTCTTCTAAATGTGTAGGATAGGTTGACAGCAGCTATGGTTTTAATATTAAAGTTGAGCACATTTGATGCATGTCACGTGCATCTGTGTGGCATAAGTGTCTGAAAACCTCCTGGCATGAATGTATTTGGCACTCTGGAGGCTCATTCAGGCTGAGTTCATGGGGCCTCCAGAGCCAGGATGGTCAGCAGTGACCTGGCCAGATGGACGGTTTGCTGCTGCAGGGCATGGCTGTGGTTCCAGTTCTAGGGCCGTGGTTGAGGCCAGGGTTGTGCTTCTGCCCACGCCTCCTGCTCTCATGGCCCTTCCCTGCATGAGGTGCCCTGTGTCCTGCACCCCCATGGCACCTTGGTCAGCAGAGTGCACAGTCCCTACCTTTCCGTCAGCTGTCAGAATGCCTCTCTTGGAGAAGGCATACGTGCCACATGTCTGCTGGAGCCCCTGGAAGTGTGCATGGAATCCCTGCAGCTGAGCACTCATGAAATGCCCAGCATGCTGAGGTTTCCTTCTGCTGGCCCAGGTGCCCGAGGTCCTGTTTGACCATGTTTGCTCCATTGTGCCCCCCAGCTCCCCCGACTCCTGTGTGTGTGTGTGTTTCTGAGTGTGTGTGCATGTGTGTGTACACATCTATGTGCACACACACACCTTTTAGAAATCAAGATATTGGCCACTAGGCCCCCGAGAATCTGGTGCAGTGAGCTCTCCCTCTCTGTTGCAGCCTCCACGGACATCGAGGGCTCTGTGTCCTCTTCTCAGAAGTCGGCTCTGTCCTCACAGAAAACATTAGATTCTTTGCCTGTTGCTGACAAGTTCAGGAAGAGGAGGGTGCCTGGTGGGAGGTTCCAAGCGCCTTCCGACTGGGAGTGTCTGAGCTGCCTGGAGAGGGCCAGTGGGCCCTGCCGCCTGCAGGGGGGTCCCAGCGGACAGGACAGCTCTGAGGGCAGGAGCCAGAGTGCCTTTCCCCATTCTGAGGCCTCGGAGGCAGAAGAGCAGACACCTCGCGGCACAGGCGACGCTGGAGTGGTGAGCTGGGGCACGAGGGTGTGCAGCCATGCTGTGCCTGGTTGTCGGGGGGCCCTGGCGTGCGCGCAGTGCCCTGACTCCCAGGGAAGGCAGCCCTACGCCTTCTTTTCCTTGGCACTGGCTCCCTCGCTCTGCACTGTTCCCACGGTGCCCAGTGTGGTCAGGTGGAAACGCAGCCACATATTAGAGGTGTTTTGGTCAGCTTTTTGGGTGCTGCAACTAAAAGATCCAACCAGAACAACTGTAGAGCAGGAGAAGCTTATTTGAGGGGTCGTGCTTTCGGGGGTCTTAGTCCACAGCCAGCCAGCTGGGTTCCTCAGGACTCGAGGTGAGGCAGAACGTCATGGCAGAAGAGTGTGGCAGCTCACATGACGATCAGGAAGCAGAGAGTTTCTACTCTCCAGGTGCAAAATATTTACCCAAAGCCACGCCCCCAGTGCCCCACCTTCTCCAGCCACACCCCGCCTGCCTTCAGATGCCATCCATTGCATCCCATTGGTGATTAATTAACTGATTGGGTGACATTTCATACCCAGTCATCTCTCCTGCAGACCTTCTTGCATTGTCTTACACGTGATCTTCTGGGGGACATCTCACATTCAAGCCATAACATTCCTCCCCTGACCCCCAAAGGCTCAAACTCATCTGACGATGCACAATACATTTAGTCCATTCCCAAGGGTCCCCAGAGTCTCAGCAGTTCCGAGATGGCTCAGAGTTCAAGTCCAAGGTCTACTCTGAGGCTCAAGGCATCTCACAATGTGAGCTCCTGCAGAATTAAAAGCAATTTACAAGTATCCAGTATGAAATGGTACAGAGTAAAGACTTCCACTCAGAAAAATAGGGACATAGGAAGAAGGGATGGGACCAAAGCAAGACCGAAACACAGCTGGGCAAACAAGCCCTGGAGCTCCACGTCCAGCCTCTGGGGCACAGGGCATCGTGAGGTTCTCTCCACAGGGCTGTGTGGCTCTGCCCTGTGGCCATGTGGGTGCAGCCCAAGTGGCCTTCCTGTTGGCTTGTCTCTGCTCGATTCCTGCAGCTTTCCTGGGACAGTGTCCCACATTACTGGCATTTCTTAATCGCGGGCGTCTGTTCTAATCTGCTCTTTAGATCTCCTTTTAGTTCACTGAATATCTTGATAATCAGTTTTTATAATTTTTCTATGGAATTCCATCCTCTTTCATATCTGTGGGATCTTTGTTGGGAATCATGGGTTCTGGGAGGATTGTTTGCCTGTTTCCTCATGTTTTTGGAGGCCTTGGATTCGCACACCCATTCAGATGGACCCCTTCCTCTTTTTTATTTTTATTTTTTAAATATTTTGGTTTTTAGTTGTAGTTGGACACAGAACCTTTATTTTATTTCATGTGGAGCTGAGGATGGAACCCAGCGCCCCACGCTGCTAGATGAGCGCTCTACCCCAGCCCCCCTTTCCTCTTTTTATACCGTGTCCTTTTGCATGCAGACTGTTTGCTTCTGGCACTTCTGTTTCTGATATGTGAGCAATGTCGTTCCTGCCTGGGTCCTGGTTGTCTCCTGTCCTGGGTGTTGAAGCGTGTGTGCAGTGAGGTTTACTACTGTTGCTTGGCTGAGATGTGGGTATTGCTTGGCAGCGGGGTCTCTGTTCTGTGAAGTGGCCCAGTCACCTTCCTGCCCCTGTTAGAAGAAGAGGGAGCCAGGAAGAGCCCTAATGTCACAAGAAGATGAAACATGGAACTGGCTCTGAGTGGGGAGGGGAGTGAAGAAGCGGCTATTCGAGGCACAAACCAAGGTGCAGACAGGCCAGCGTCAGGTGGAAACAGGTGTATGAGGGTATGGGACGAAAGCAAAAGTGTGCTTGTGTGGGTGTGTGGGTGTGTGCGGGCACAAGCACTTGTATACACATCCATGCAGTGAGAATACACACACATACTGTGTGTGGAATGGAAAAGAGTAAAAAGTAACAAAATATGATGAAGTGATATTGGAAAAATTCTAAAGTTAATATTTAAAATTAAAAATTTTTAAAGTAAAAAAATGGGGAGAATATGTCTGTTTTAGTCAGCTTTTTCCTTGCTACGACTAAAGGACCTGATCGGAACAATTTTAGAGGAGGAGAAATTTATCTGGGGGCTCACGGATTCAGAGGTCTCAGTCCACACACACAGACTGCATTCCTCAGGCTCAAGGTGAGGCTGACCTTATGGCAGAAGAGTGTGGCAGAGGGAAGCGGCTCACTTAACCATTAAGAAGCTGCAAGAGAGACTCCACTCACCAGATGCAAATATATACCCCACCAAAGCCTCGCCCCCGGGGGCCCTCCTCCCCCAGCGACACCCCACCTGCCTCCAGCTGCCACCAGTTAATCCCATCGGGGGACCACGTCACTGACTGGGTCATTTCTCCTGTGAACCTTCCTGCATTGCCTCACATGTGAGCTCTTGGGGGACCCTCGCATCCAAACCATAGCAACGGAGGAAAAAAAGAGTTCCACATTGGAAGCTCCCAGAGTTGGGGTTTAGTCTTGAGCTTGGAACTCTGTCCGTGGGTGTCTGAGGTGTGATCCCCAGCCTCTGTGTCTCTGCCGGAGGTCGGATCTCTGGGGCCTCAGGTTAAGTCGATCCACTTTTAGGGCGTGGGTACTAACCCCATGGGTCTCACCTCACTGCTGAGTGCCCGAGTGTGGTACTCACCTGTGACAAAGGGAGCCCCCCCCCCCCCATTCATCCGGAGCCTGCATGCTCCACGCACCATTTTCCAGGCCTCCGTTCCAGACACTTTGGTTGAGACACACTCTGGGGGTCATAGTAGGCACCTGCTGGGTCCGCTGGCAGCTTCCTCTGTCTCTTCTCACTGTGTGACCCCATGCTGGTGACCACCTCCCACAGAGCCATCTGCCCATGGCCAGGGATTGGGGTTGGTTGTCCCTTAAGCACATCCCACCCCCCACTGACTCTGGGTCTGTTAAGGTCAGCCTCCTTCTAGCCCACAGGGCTCCTCAGGTCAGTGTTTTATCTGCCAAGGTCTCCCCTCTCTCTGCTTGTGTTCCCCCATCCTCTCAGCGGCCACTGCTGCCAGCCGAGCTGGCGCATCTCTAAGTGTGTTTGAAGTTTCAGACTTTCTGTGTCTGGTTTCTCTTACTGTCCAGAACTGTTTCAGTGGGTTCCCTTAATTACCCACCGCACTGAGGAGATGTCTTCCTGCTTTTTAAGTCTGGTGCCAAGGAGCTGCTGTAACCCGCCATCTTCTCTCCTTAGACCTGGTTCTTGCTGTGACCTGCCGGCCATGGCTGAACAGCCAGTTTCATGATCTTGTCTCCTTCACAGCCGTCTCCCAGACCACACTCAGTAGCTCCCCCTGGGAAAAGGGCTGTGCTGGAGTGGGCGCTCCTGGAAGCGCTCCTGGACCTGGTGGACAGGCACTGGAGTGGCTGCAAGTCCCTGCACAGCAACCAGGCCTTCCTCGGTGAGTCTAGGTGGGTGCTGGCCTTCAGTCCAGGCAGCAGCTCCTGGCAGGTGCTGCTGACCCGCCACGTGGGTCCTCCGCATCCACACCCTATGGAGCTCTGGAGAGTCTGCCAGGTGGCCCCAGTACCAGACAATGGACATCCTCCTGTGAGTGGAATGTGGTCCCTTACTGTGGCTGTGCTCCAATTTCCCTGTCTTCAAGCAGGGGTTTGGAGGCTGAGAAAAGGGCTTCTGCCTTCTCCAGATCCTCTTTGTGTGCTTGCTTGGGCACAGGCAGATTTGCAGAGCATCTGGCAGAAATGACCTGGGGCCCAGCAGGAGGCCCCTACTAGAGAGGGTTTGGGTCTGTTTGTGTCTGTGAACTGGTGACCAGTCAGTGCAGGAGCATTCAGGGGCTCCCACTATGCAGCCTGGTGCCTGCAGCCCAGACAGCTGCCTTCTCTCTTGCAGCATGGGCGTCCTGTTAGTGTCCTGTTAGCGAGGCTTGCTAGCTGGCAGACCCTGGACAGCACTCTGAGCTGCCTCCACTGCCAACCACTGGGCTCTGACCCCTCTTCTCAGTGTCCTGTCACGGCCTTTAGCTCCTCCTGTGTCAGGGTGCCCTGAGCCCATGCCTCCACACCTCTTCCTTGTGGCAGTGGGGTGGGTCCATGGTACCCAGGCTGCTGCCCCTGTGGATGAGCTTCCCCGGCACTCACCACGCTGCTCCAGATGTGGCTGCCAGCATACGCAGCTTCTGCCGGCGAGTCACCTTTTTTCTAGAATACAAGCTGTTGAGAATCAACATGGCTGCATGTAGAGAATCCAAGCAAAGTGACCCTGAAGCCTGCCGTCCCTCTGCCTCACCATTCTCCAGGCACAGGGTCACGTGCTGGGCATGTTCTGTCTGTGCTCCACGCTGTAGCTGTGAGCACTGTAATAGAATTCCCTTTTCACTCCAGCTCAGGCAAGGCACATTTTGTCATCTGTTCAAGAGTTTGCAGCAGCTCAGGACAGTTCAGAACTTGGGAATGAAGAAATCAGCTACCTGGCCCTTGAAAATAAATCCCTGCAAAGCCGCCTGGCTGAGCACCAGCAGCAGTACACCACAACGCTGAGCGAGGTGACGTCGCAGCTCAGCAACACACGCAGAGAGATGGTGAGTGGTGCCCTGTGCCTTTTCCTTTGTCCCTGGGACAGGAAGATGGAGCTTGTTCACAGCCCCAGCTGCAGTCCCTCGTCTCCCGTCCTGCTCCTCCAGGGCCACAAAGTCCTTCCTTTCCCAGTGATTGCTTCTCTTTCAGGGGCTCTACCTGACTGTTTCAGGCCCAGACCCCATGGAAACGGTGAATTGGCAATGGCAGGCTCTCTGGCTGTCCCTGTTCTGCCTTCCAGCTGCTGGTGGGATATGGGGACGAGGGGTCAAATCCAGGCTCCAAGGGGAGTCTTCTGTCCCTGATGACTGAGACACCAGTTACTGGGTGATTCTGTGGCCTGTCCTGCCACCCCAGCCAGGAAGTAGATGGCCCAGGGTGAGTGTCAGGAACTCTTCACCACCAGGTGGCGCCTAAGAGCAGCTAGAGCCACAAGCTTGGCCCTTGAGCTACACACAGGGCTGAGCTAACCCTGTGTGGGTCCCGGTGTGTTTGAGAGTACTGGGGTGTTTGCCTGTCTCAAGGTGGATGGTGCAAGCTGCAAAGCTACCATCCAGGCCCACAGGGCAACCACTGACCCTCTGAGAGAGCTCTATGGCGTGCATCACCCCTGGTGAGCCCCTGGGTTTAGCATGCAGCCTCTGCAGGTGAGCCAAGCTGGCTCAGCTGCCCATCATCTGAAGGCCTGGTGAGTCAGGTCCTCTCCCAGGCTCCCCACAGGTGTCCTCCATGGGCCCGTTCAGGCTTTTGGAGTCCTTGCAACATGGGCAGTGCTTAGGGAAGTCCCCTGCTAATGTGGACCCAGGGCCCACAGGGGGAGACAAACCTACAGTGTGCTTCCTGGGGGCCATGGGGCCACTGCAGCAGCTGCCTGACCTGTCCACTGCCTCAGTCGCCCCTTTGTAAAATGGTGGAAACCACAGAATTGCTGGGACAAAGATGTGGAACTACCTGGCAAATAATGTCTATTTTATGAGCGCTTACATGAGAAATCCCACACAAAGCTTCTCTTTTTGAGAAAAAAAGATTGAACCCAGTGCCTCAGACATGCAAGGTAAGCACTCTGCCACTGAGCTACAGCCCCAGCCCCTTGAGAAAAAAAGAAAATAGCAAAACCACACAGGCAGCCCCTGGTGTTGAGACACACACCACAGCACTGTGCAGATGGCTGTTCTTGCAGGGCCCCCAGGTGAGAAAACACCCTTGGCGCTATGTGAGGAGTTTGACCTACATGTCTCTTCTGTTCCCTTAGGATACCTTGAGACAACATTTGGACAAGTCTTTGGAGGAGAATAGTAGCTTGAAATCTCTCTTATCCAGCATGAAAAAAGAAGTGAAGAGTGCAGATGCTTCAGCTGCACTGAATTTGCAGATCTCTGGTGAGTTTGCAGGTTTTTGGCTGACACTACTTTTTGATTTGATTCTCTAAATGTGCATGAGTAGACTTCATTCTGAGTCATTTCTGCAAGAATTTGGAAGCAGAAAGTGCTCTCTCTGAGTGGAATGGGAGCCCCTGCCCCACTGGCCATGGTGTGGGTGGCCTTGACTGTGTTCCTTGGAGCGCATGGTAGCAGTGGGGGGCAAGCCCCACATAGCACCTGGGGGCCTGACTGTGGGGGAAGCAGAGGTCAGTGGTGGGCATCTGATAGGGCGTTTGACTCCCTAAATCCAAACACAGGATACAAACAAATCTATGCATGACCAGTGAGGCTGAGCGATGTCAGAGACAGTAAGAAAGCCAGAGCAGAAAGCTGCTCATAGTTTTCTTGACTTATTCTACAACCTTCTCTGGCGAGGAATTTGTGGGCCCTCCCCGGGGTGTCTTGGCCTCTGGTTGCATTGCTGCCTTCAGAGCAGATCATTGTTTTCTCCAGGTCCAGGTAATTTTCCCTTCCCTCTCTTCTCTTTCTGTGATTCTGTGTTGCCCTTTAGGAAAAGTACATCAGCTCTTTCAAGTTCAGGCATCTGGGTTGTAGAAAGAAGTGTTGGTGGTGGTGTCTGTTTCTGTGGTAACCTGTCGGGGTTTGCATTCCATGGACTTTCCTCTTCTCAGGAGAAGCCCTCCTTGGAGGTAGGAGGTGGCCATTCCTGGCTGGCACCTTCCTACCCGGCCCTCAGCTGTGACCTGTGCAGCCAGAGGCAGCGCAGAGGATGTCCCTCGGCTTAACTTTTTGGGCGAGGTGTCCGCTCAGACCTTTTGTTCCTTTACTTGGGTTGGGGTTTTACCTTGAATGATGAGAGTTCTTCCTTTCTTTTTCCTTTTGCAGATTTGAATTTTTCCTCTTTTTACTTCTGTTTCTAAGCGTTGGCCTGGTTGGCTTGCACTTGGTTCCTTTGGGTTTGGCCTTCATTTCCATGTGCCTCTGCTCTTGCCGATTCTGTTCTGAATTTCCTGACCTTTTCTGGCTCTGACTTGAGTTGTCTGTAATTTCTTACATTTCTTCTTTTGTGCTGGTCTTGAAATGGTGCCTGGTGGTTTGACCTGCCCTGTGGTCTGACTGTTGGAGTCTGTGGGGACACTCTTGCACTGGCCATGGGACTTGCCCGCAGTACTTTTCTGTTGTTGATTTCACATGAAATTTGTTCTCCTGGATCCCTGGAGGCAGGGCCAGGGCAGCTTTTCTGACTTCGTGGATAAATGTATGCCAGCCTCCTTTGAGGATTTTCAGGCTTGTTTGCTCCTCAGCCTTCTCTCTGGTGTTCCTGCTCAAACTTGCCTTGGAGCAGTGAGTTCTCGGCAGCGCAGGCACTCTTCTAGAAGGGACCACGCTGATCAGCCCTCCAGACTGCATGGGACCCCTGGTCTCTCCCTCATTAGGAAGGTGGTGCCTCTCCTGCATCTGCCATGGTTCCCTCATTGGCCCAGGACAGCAGGGACACTTGAGGACACTCCCACCTCAGTCAGTCAGATGCCCGACTGCTGACCTCTGCTTCCCTGACAGACAAGCCCCCAGCTCCTACACGGGGCTTGCCCCAATTTCTGGCATTTGAGATTTTAAAGACACCTTCGTTTCTTGTTCACTGGGTTCAGGTATTTTCTCAAGTGACTTTGGTGTCTGGGGGATCCTGAAACCATGCTACCCCTGTCCTCTACTCAGGCCCTTGAGTAGAAATATGAGCGCACGGATTCTGGGTGGCATGTAAGGTCTGGCACCTTATGGACACGTCCCTGTTGCCTTGGACTTGCTGGTGAGAAGAAAGTACTGCCAGCATCCTCGCCGACCTCCGCCATTACTTTCTCTCTGGGTCTCTGGTTGTGCTTAGTGGTGGTGTTCCCTGAGTGTGGACCTGGGGAGTCAAAAACCCTCTCTTTCTTTCCCTCTTGAGTTGGAAACAGAGACAGAGCTGTGTGGATGGAAGCTGCACTCATCTCTGTCACCGATGGCTGTGGAATTAGAGCCGTGGCCCGTGGGCCTCGCCAGCTTTCCAGTGCCCCTTCCCAAGCCACAGACTCCCCTCAGGGCGCAGCTTCCTTCCTGTGGGAGGGACGTCCACCAGCAGGCTGATCCAGCGAAAGGGACATTGCACGTCCTCTGCGTGAGGACGTGGCTCTTCAGGGGTGTGTGCAGGGCTGACCCCCGGCTGCAAACACACAGAGGGGAGGGAGAGGCAGAGCCTCAATGTCTGCCCACTGCCTGGAGGCCCAGAGCCAGCGTGCACTGGTGTTCCGGGTGTGAGTGCGTCTCACTAAACACGGCTGCCCCTTCCTGCTCAGGACTCCAGGCGAGTGTGAAGCGGCTTTCTGGTGAGGTGCTGGAGCTGAAGCAGCACTTGGAGCACTATGACAAGACCCAGGAGCTCACCCAGATGCTGCAGGAGAGCCACAGGTGCCTGCCCAGGAGCCCTGGGGGGAGCTGAGGGGGGAGCCCAGGTGCCTGCCCAGGAGCCCTGGGGGGAGCTGAGGGGGGAGCCCAGGCGCC